CGTCTTCCCTCACTCTCCTGGCCTCTCTCCTTCCGTCATTCACTCCCACTCTTCTCGCTTTCACGATACCTTCCTCTGATCTCTCTTCTTCCATCTCCCGGTCTCTCATTGGAGTTGCAAAATCTTCGCTAGCGCTACATCACTTAAGATGTGGTTTGGCTGACCGAACCTAAGCCCATGCACATCGAAATGAATCCATCTGATGGTTGCCATGCAAGATACATATAAGATTATAAGGTATCAAAGAATTAAAAGTTTATCTCAAATTGCAAGGTACTCTAAGTGAATTCTTAACTCCCCAAAACCCCTAATCACGTGAGGATCATACGAAGGTCGTCCCATGCTGACGACGCACATTCCTGTTTACTGTTGCGTGCCAATAGGCACTACAGAATGTCTCTTAATAGAAGACATTTTGTTAAAGGCGTTTTCTCAAAATGCCTTAATTTCTTGTTGCATAAAGGCACAAAAAATGCCTCTAAAAATATTTTTTAAAAGGCAAAATTAAAAACGCCTCAAATGACTATAGCAATTGGAGGCGTTTTTTGTCAAACGCCTTCAAAGTCCTGTGCTGCTGTGAGTAAAAAACTTGTAGACTCGATTCACTGTGCTACTCCACCGGAAGAAGCAAACGACACTAGAAAACACAAAGGAAAATTATAATACAAAATTTTAATTAGCAAAAGAAAAACCGGAGATTGGGAGGGACAGCCTGCCCACAGCCCACGTAAATTGTTTCTCCAGGCCCACGGGTTGCAAGCTGCCCACGCCGCCGTGTATCTCTCCTGGTCCTGGACACGCAAGCTGCCCACGCTGCAATAGCAGCCACACGGGGAAGGACGGGGTGGGAGGGGCGGCCAGCTCCGGCGACTCCAGCGTGGCCCTCCTGCTTCGGCGCGCGAACGGAGGTGCGGCTGCGACGAGGCGCGCGGCTACGGGGAGGCGTCGCAGCGGCGTGGTTGCGCGGAGGTGGTGCGGCGGCGCTGTTGCGGGGAGGCGGTGCGGCGGCGCGGTTGGTGGGAGGCGGTGCGGCTGCGTCGGGCAGCACAGGGAGATCGTTGGAGTTCGTCGGGTTCGTCGTTTCTTCAAGTGCTCCTCCACCAAGCGCTACCTCCATCGTCGTGGCTGCGTCGGGCGGCTGCTTGGCGGGTGCTGACGTCCACACCCGTCGTGGACGACGACGACGACGCCTCTATTGTCCAACCCCGATCCACCTCCTCTGCGCTCCATCGATCTCGATCTACATCGGGACCTCAACTGCCAAGGTCAGCACCTCTTGATTCATGATTTCTCTTCCATGTTGTCATTCCTGATCCCTTGATCCCTCCCTAGAGAGATGGAATACTAGAAGGATAGATGCGAAGGCAGGGGCGTCGGTGGTTAGGCATGTTATGGAGAGATGTTTGACACGCGTCAGATTGCTCGGGTTCGTCATTGAGATGGGTTTGTGGAGAGATCTGTGCAGGTAACATGTTTGATGAAATTCCACTTAGGTTTGTGTTGCCTTTTTTGGTGTTTACTAAACCGACTTGCAGCCTCATGTATACTGCACACTGAAATCGATTTCCATGCATGCAACATTTCCCCATCAGAGCTCAACTTTCCACACTGAAGGCAGGAGCATGATGCTGGGATTCCAATAGAAAATGTTAACATCTTATTGCTTCTCATTATTGGAAACTTATTTGTTCTGTACTCGACAAATGAAGCTTTGTCATGTTTTTCGTGCTCGATTTGTCTATAGGTTCATGTGATTGTGTCTATATACAACTATACATTTCTAAATGTTTTGGCATGTTTGTTATCCAGATTCAATAGTACCATGATGCTATCATCTTAATTGTTTCAGTTGAATAGCCTAGTTTTAGAGTGTAATTTCCCCTTAAAAAATACCTTGTGTCTAGGCGTCTAGGACTGTAAATGTGACCAGTTTCCCCTCAATTTTTTTTGAGAAAACCTATGAGTGACCTCACCTGCTTATTTATTATGTAATAAGCAAGAAACAGTTGGTCACCTTTTTTGATTGATGTGTAGCATCTTGTGTTTTGAAAGAGAATTCTGAAATGATGGAAATGGATTCGGTCAGCACTTTGAATCTATGGTGCGTTTATGATTATGGAACCGTTGAAATGCTGTGTGTTTTCAGGAAAGAGCTCTCTAGAGTGACGTAAATACTGAGAGATATGAAGAGGACACTGGAGTGTGCTCTTCAACTTGGACCTAGTGTTTCTAAAGGTTCATTCCCCCTCGCAATATAGCTATCAGAATTCCTATGCCTTGTTTTACGTCATACAAAGTCACCATGGATGCAAGTAGTTCTATCCAATAATGTCTGTAATTTTCTCTCTCTTCTCGATCTATGGCTACCAAGGTTCATGAAAGAGTGTGGCTAAACTGAATTTCAGCGACTTCAAGCATAGTACGATAATAAACGATTACCTTGCTGTTAGTTCCTCCGGTCTACTTTGCTTGGCTGTAGGGCCTTTTTTCTAGACTTTTTTAAGGATCCGAAGAGATGAGTTTAGTATGTAGAAATTTGTGCTTCACCCCATCGCTCTTGGTTGTTTTTTGCGGTCTTCTTGAATTTGCGTGGGTGGTCGTGGTTTTGAAATTAGTACTCCTATTACCCTCTCTATGTGTGTTGCATGTAACTTGTGCTGATCCTACTGCTATTGCTTGGTTTTAGTGAAATTACTTACTCGTGTAGAATTTCATGTAGCTTGATCTGTAATCGGTAACAATTTCATAGCTTTGAAATTACTTACTCGTGTGAAATTACTTACTCTTTTAGGGAGGGCTGAGGCTTCTGGTTCTTTGTTGCTCTTCTGTGGAGCTTGGAGCTGTTGCGGCTTCTCCTGTGTGCATCTACAACATATTGCAAGTGTAAGTTCGACTCTACTTGGTACAGCCTTCTACTAATCTGGTTAACTAAAAAGACCTGGTGTTTTCTCTGACCCTTGAAAGGCCAGCTTACACTTTGCTGCTTGTGTGTGTTACATTTAATTGCCTGTGTGATGTCAGATTATTCTGTTCTTGTGGTCTGGATTAGCCATCGGTTTTGTTGTTAGAATTTAGCTTGAGATGACAGACTATTGATGTAGTCTAGTTTCTGTTCTTATAGTTTTAGAATTTTAGCTGTTAGATAACAGACATGGCGGGAAGGTATCTGCAGGGCATACATGGGTTGATATATGTTTTTTGCTTTTGCGATTCATGTTATCCTGCATGGTGGTTGAAATGTTAGTTCTGATCTGCCACATTTTCTTCTTCTGTCATCCCTGTCTCTTCTCCCTTGTTTGTATTCATGCTTGAAGAACTGAATGCTTGTCAGGCGTCTGGAGTTTGTATTCATGCCACAATTTATGATTCTTTTCTTGTGAGAAGTATGACCCGATTGATGTTTTCCCCTCATTTAAACTGAACATAGTTGCCTATGTCTTTGGCTGCACTCAGATAGTACATGTTATTTATCTTGCTGAAGTAGAGTTACTCTGTCATGTCCGGCTCTACTGCATTTATTCAGCTTAGTGTTTTAATAACTTGTTCTAAAGCCTGGTGATACTTATTGGGACAAGTTTATTTGGTTGCAAGCAGTGAATCTGATTCTTACAGTGGATCTGATTCTATACCCAGTTAGCAGATGTTTGGAGATCAGGAAGGATGGCAATGAGGCAAGTGGGGACAGCAGGAAGGATGGCAATGAGGCAACATCTATTCAGTTGGATTTATACTTATACATATGTGTATATAGTTGTGATGTGAACATGTCATCATTTATCTTAAAGGGAGCAGCAAACCTGTGTCATTTAGGACTGAACCTAAACAACAGGACTGAGGATAGTCATTCAGGAACGAGAACCTAACAATTGTACTGATATTTGGAGATGAAAGCTTATGGCTGTACGAGAGATTTTAAAGTTTGGATGCATCCAATTTTAATGTGTGCTCTCATTGTTAATGTGCTAATTTGATATTAGTTGAAAGGGTTGCATGAATACCTTGGTTTTGGAGGCATTTCTAATAACGCCTCCATCGATGTTTGAAGGCAAATTCCTAAGCGCCTCTAAAAAGTATTCTAGACAGTCAGAAAATGCCTTAAAAGTTGATATTAAAAGGCATTTTGAAAAAGCACCTCAAAAGACCTTTTACTTCCATGTTTTAGCCTGCATTTTAATAAATGTCTCAAAAGGTCTTTGAAGACGTTTTGACTATTTTTGGAGGCATTTGTTAATGCCTTGTATAACGAGTCATGTTGTAGTGAGGGCTCTTGTGACTCGCATCGGTAACGAGCGGAGCAAGAACAGGAGCAGCTCGCGTTGCCACAGTAGACGAGAGGGCAGGCATTGCAGTCATAGCAGGGCGGGAAGAGGTGGCCATAATAAGAGCAGCCACAGCGTCGTCACCGATGCTAGAAAAAAAAAATGAACCCCATGTCAGGACGCAAGCCTCGATGCCTATACACTCGATCATGTTACGTGTTCTGGAAGCAACAGTACCGGATGTTTGAATAATTCTCGGCTAATTTTGATACTCTCTTATTTTACGGGCCTTATTTGGGCTAGAAAGCCCATTATCATCGTGTCCATAATAAGAAGTTAGAAGCCGGATTTGTGGAGCAATATTTGGGCTGAATTCGAGCCTGAAATTTTGAGGCTTGGCTAGCTGGCTTCACTTGAGTTGTTGTCCGTTTAGCAGTAATGGCTTTGGAGGAAGTTGGAACGACCAGCTCCCGCGCGCGGTCCCTCGGGCGCAGTAGGAATCAAACCTCGCACGGGAGCCAAGGCGGCGCCGGCGGCGTGCAGCGGTGCAGGTGATTCCCAATGAGCGTAACTGCATGCATGCAGGTGCAGTGGATCGCCACTTCCGACCCTTTCTTCTTCCCCTCGAGCTCAACTCAAGGCTCTGCTATTTAACCCCACCACTCCCTGCTCTGTCTTCACCTGCCTCAGCGTCAGCAAACAAACAGCAAGTCTCTGAAACCAAGAGGGTCGATCGAGGCCATGGCGGCACCGGACTGGTCGTCGCTCCCGGCGGACCTCGTCAACCGCGTTGCCGACTGCCTCCTGGCCACCAACGACCTCGACTGCTACGCGGACCTGCGCGCCGTTTGCCACCACTGGCGCTCCGTCACCGCCGACCTCGGGAGCAACCAGCATGACCCCCGCTTCCGTCCCTCCCGGTGGGTCATGCTGGATGAACCTAAGGTCGTCTTCTCCACCATCACCGGCGGTCCTTCCACTTCGTCAACACGGCCAGCGGCCGCTTCGTCCGTAGGAGCCTGGCGCTCCTCCGCGACCGCGACCGCGACCGTGACTACGTCTTTATCACGAGCACCGCCGGCGGCCTCCTCATTCTAGCGGCCAGGGACCCTCCACACGCCGTGATCGTCGTCAATCCCTTCACCGGCTCCATGATCTGTTTTGCGGCGCAAATGCTAACCGAGCCGTCGGCATTCACTGCCTACGTCGTTGGTTCAACGCCCACTCTCGTGTTGGTTTCCGTCACGTCAAACGAGGTGTACTGGGCGGATCCCCAGAGCGGGTCTTTCTCTGTCGAGAAGCATCGCAACTGTCCTGCAAGCAGGCTGCCTCAGATTGCTGACGCCGTCAATCGTGAATCTGTTCCTGGTGCCAAGAACATCAGCTTTGGTCCGTGGTGGACGACGGCTGCCGTTGTTACGCGGTGGTGGCTGCCGGCGGGGATATGCTGGCGGTCTTGAAGCGGAGCCTTGGCATCGATGGTTTCAAGATTGACGCTGCTGGGAACGTGATGGAGAGGGTCAAGAGCATCGGGAGCCAAGCTCTCTTCCTCGGCGTCAGGTGCCTTGCTGTTAACACCGATTGCTTCCCAACATTTGAGGCCAACTGCGCATACTTACAACTCACTGGCCTACATCAAAGTCAGTTGTACAACATTTGAGTACAAGTTTAGCATTGGAATTTATATATATCGATGAAGAAGAACCAGAGCTGGTCTCATCAGCACCTATGAGCAACATGGGCCCTTTGACATTAACGCAGCTTTTCTGCTACTACACCATGGACATTCCAGGTCATCCGCTAACGTGGGAAATGTGTCTCTCCGACTTCGTCATGCTCGACCGTTGTGACAACTATATTGATTATGTTAATGATAATTCTGATGAGGACTATGGGTATCAACCATACGATGAGCATTATTCAGACTTTGAGTATCACTCAGATGATGATGACTATCCAATCTTGGACGATTATCTTTGAAGCCTTAAATGTGCAGCATTAGCATTGCCTACCTATTCTTCAGTGCGCGCATATTGTTGATTTTTTGTCTATGTGTGTGCGGACTAAATTATGAATATGTGCCGTCTTTCTTTCTATGCTACAGTGTGCATTCTTTTTAGTCCGTGCAATGTTATGTTCAATTCAGTACGACATATGTATTGCTCCTAGTCCTAGTCAAAACAAATCAACAATATTGGTGTCAGTATAAGCATGCATTTTGGTAACACGGAAGGCTTCCCAACCACTGCTTGCTTACTGGTACTCTTGCTGCTGATGTCACCATCCATTTTCTTCTCTGCCTGCTAGAGAACTTGGTTGACAGCAGGCACTAGGGATGGCAATGCATGTGTAGGGGCATGTTTGGTAGAGCTTCATCTGATTCTAATTCTCTATGGAAGTTGAATCTTTGATAGAAGTGAATCTGTGGTTGAAAGAGATTCTCTTTAATTTTTTAGCGTAAACTCTTGAAATCATGATGGAGAATCACTTCACATAATCAGGAGAAGCTACTTTTTCAGCTTTTAGCCTCCTAGTTCATTTTAGAGAATCACTTCACGGAATCAGCAGAGAATCACTTTTCTCTGAAAAACTGTTTGGCAGAGCTCTCCTGCTGGATTTAGTAGAGAATCAGCTTTGGGAGCTCTGCCAAACGGGGCTTACGAAACCTGATCGGGGAAAGCCCTCGTACCCACTCCACCAGCGTAAACTCTTCCGTCACCTGTTCGATTTCCATCCAACAGTTAATTCCTACCTCGGTTTCTAAGAAACACCTAATAAGAGGGACGTTTTCTAAAATACACTGCCGCAGAACAAACGATACCGAAGAGAGTACAATAATCGAGAAACCATAGTGTATAAATTGAGCCGCTCTAGAGAGGCGGCTATAAATTGAGCCGTCTCTATAGGAAAAAAAACTCCTATTGCTAAAAAACAATTCTTTAGTAGTGTTGGAGAAATGCTTTTTTGCAAAACATCCTCTACTCCTAGTTTAAAATTGTAGTTTAAGAGTTTAATTAAAATATTACTTAGCATATAACATAATCGAGTTAAGTTTTTCTTAAAAATATTAAAATCAAATTTTTTTCATAAATAATATGAGGTTGAATTTAAGCCGCCACTCAAATTCAATCCAAACTAATTATAGTTTACCCAAACCATTAACCTAATTTCTCTCTTCGCTTCTGGATTGTTGTACTTGTGGCCGGATTCAGCCTATTCGGCAGACCGTAAACGATCGTGGATTATTTACTGCTGGCTGGTTTTGTGTGAGAGAAAAATATTGTTCCAACTTATAATCTACGATCGTATACGAGCAAGATTCTAAAAATGTTCGATGCCACCTTCTTTCTATCCTAGAGCATCGCCCTTGCAATGTGCCAATTGCCAACCGATGCTTCAATCTTCTCTTTCTTTCCCAAGCATCGGTTTTTTTCATACACTATGGCTGCTCGAAGAGCCATGGATCCGGGGAGTGCCAACATTGAGGGAAGCGCTCTACCAAGACCAGCGGTTCCTGCTCTGCCACTCGCCGAAGGGTGCTAGGGCTAGGAAGCAACCAAGCGTATTCAAGCCACTGCGGCTGCTACCTGGACGAGCGTAGCAGACAAGAGGGAACAAATGATAGCGAAACCAGCATTGAACGTCTTAGACTGTCTCCAACGATGAGAGCGCAAACATGAGACCTATTCCAGGATTTGAGTCACATATAGGAAAAAAGTCACGGACCCAAAACCTTCGTTCTCCAACAACGAACTCAAAACAAGACTCGCAGTTTCCTCCGTCCGTCCGGTGCCGCTTTCTCCTCTGTCTTCGTCTTCCCCGCGGCCGGCCACCGAGCTGCGAGCTCCGGCGCGAGATCCGAAGAGGCGCTGAGGAAAGGCCAACACAGGGAGTGGACGGAGGCAAGAAACGCCGCAGGCTTAAGCAGAAGAGGAGGGAAGAGGGAGCAAAGAAGGTACAGCGGCGGCCGGACGCGCAGAGCAGTTAGCAGCGCACTGACAGTCGGCGCGCGACGCCACAGGTCCGCCACGGCGGTCGGCCGACCAACGGCGACGGTGAGGCACGCACAGAAGGCGGCAGCATGGGAGAGACGCAGTAGCAGAGCGGGCGGGAGACAAAGAAGAAAGCGAAGCAAGCACGAGAGGACAAGGGGGCGGAGAGCGAACGGACCGCGGGAGGCGCCACCGCCGATTCCGCCGCCGCGTCGGGACGGAGCGAGCGACGAAGAGGATGGGGAATGGTGCGTTCTTTTTTTCTTTGTTTGGCAGATGATGACGGATGAGAGCGACAGCTATTTGTGTGGACGGCGACCTGCGGACGACGGATGAGATTTGCGTCGCCTCTCTGTCGAGACGTTTATTTGCGTTTCGGATCGGCTTGGACGCAAAATGCGTTGTCTGTTTGTGTCATCTATTGGAATGTGTTTTTATACCCAAAAACACTGTGAATGACCTATTTTGTATTTGTGTTGTGTTATTGGAGATAGTCTTAGAAGTGAGAATTTTAGGCAACATCGCCCAATGCCATTCAACAGCGCATTTAGATGAACCTAGCCCATAAATTATACTATAGTTCATCGTGACTTTGTTTTAAGTAAACTTCTCTAACTTAAACTAAGTTTATAGAAAAATATATTAACATCCATATTATTAAATTAGTTGCATTAAATTTTCTATAAAATATATTGATAGTGCATTTATTCAAACTTGTATATGTTAATATATTTTTCTACTAAAAGACTAGTCAAAGTAAAGTTTGAGTAAAGTAAATTATAATTTGTAATAACAAACAAAAAAAACTTTTCAAGCATGGATAGTGTAGGTCTGCAGCCCAGAAAAACGTACGCTTCCCAGCTGTGGTCGTGCCGTGCTTCAAGCACGCAAATGGCCAAAAAAGTGTGCGTATGCCACTCAGGTAACATGTAAAAGTTACCAGTACCTCGATCTAGGCTAGCTATTCTCCAGGTATCACACGCTTCTCCCAACCTCAGAAAAGACTCCAAGCAGAGCGACACCAATTCAAAGTACAGGCAAATGCTGATGTGCTGAATACAGTACGACCAACAAAACTACAGACTACTGAGTGTTTCTTCGTATTCCCAAGAACATCAACCAAAAAGGGAAACGGCGATCCAATTTTCTTGCAGGCTTTTTCTAAGCTGCTCCAGTGTTGCCATTCTTCAGTTCCATTGCCTCCCTACAAAGTTTGACAGTTAGTGGGAAACTCCAAAACTAGTTAGCAACCAAATAAACAACACAGTGCTAGCTACAGCAATCCTTCTACAGTAATTGGAATGAAACATGGGAAGCAATGGACTGGTCTCTTACCAATATAATTTATCGAGCTCATCACACATAGGGTCCAGCTCTAAGCCTTCAGAGAGTGTCACATGCTTTTTCATACTCCTAAGGAATACAATTGAAAATGCATGACCAGTTAAAATATACGAGAGCTTAAAGACATGATGAAGTGTCAAATCACGCTGCTAGAGCTAGACCCTGGGTTTTTAGTCGCACCTTAAGAAGTATCAGAGCTTGTCCCTTTGACCACTTTGGACACAGCATTTTGCATCTAACTGCATCTCCCAAAGCCCTTTTCCCATCACCTGTGCGGAGCCAGCAAAGACTCCTGCTTGAGAACAATCCAGCATCATAATGATCTACCTTCACTGCCTGCAGTAAGTTAAATGTGTCAGTATATCACTGTTGCCACATTCCAGATGTGTTGCATACATTAGCCCAGAGATTCCTCATTTATTTCTTAGGTAAAACTAGGTTAAAACATAAATTGTGGATCAAAGAGTAATTCTCATGCAGAATCTCCTTGAAAATAGACGCAAGAGATCATCCAGAATATAGTATCACTCAACCTCCTCACGACCTCAACTTAACTCGAAGCATTCCATGACTAACAGTATCAAACCAAAGTCCTATCCAACTAAATTAATTGCTGGTTTCCATATCAAAATATTTCACTAGTCCATATTATTAGACAACGAAATATGGAGGAAAATAAATGCAATCAGTTCAATCATATGTTTTGCAAACCTAAGTGTGTTGGAGGTGTGTGTGACCCCATTTTTTCTTCTTAATATAAAGATACACAACTCTCCTGTGGGCTCAAGAAAAAAAAAACATGCTTTGCAAACAAATGCAATTCCTAGAGACATACTTTGGTGCTTGCCATGTATCAGGACATAGGTTACTCAGAAAAAATATGCTGATGATTAACCAATAAATGATATTTTAGGGATTTGGCTTTTGTAAATGTAGGACTAATACAATTAGGAAAATCAATTTGCAAAAGAGTAAAAAACATACAATTGAATAGCCATCCACTACCATAACACGCACCCATCTTGTTCTACCATCAAAACAAAGTTAATGAATGGATATCATTACTTTCAATCAGCATAAACTTGGCCAATAAGTGTCTCCTGGCTTTCTTAAGAGAGGAATGAACACCTTTACTCCTTTATTTAGGAAAGGACCTGCGAGCATCAGGTTCAAGTCGGGTGCACAGCCTCTCAAATAGAGACTCTACCAACCAAGCTATTGCTTGGTTTCTTTACTCTCAAGCATTATAGGAAGTCCATAGTTTTACTCATTTCTTACTGAAATCTCTAGGTAATAAAAGTCTGCAATCAACACGTTAAGTTGTACGCAAGAAGATGATGACACTAACCATTCAAATTCAACGTTTTTATATTTTTCACACTGCTGATGTCAATACATTTTTAATACAACATACCTGTGTGTAGAATGCTGAGGAATTTATATAATCTTGCTTTTTAAATGCATCACCACCCTGTCTTTTCAGATCAGACTTCCTCGCTTCAACAAAATCATCATCCTAAACATTTTACAATAATTTGAATCAGACAAATCTAGCATATTATAAGCAAACCTGTAACCTAGAAAAAGATTCAAAGGATTCTCAGAAATCCTCGTATATATGAGGCGTATAAAAACTAGGCATAT